GGCTGGCCCGGGTTTGGGCTGTCTCACGCTTGTGTTACAGTTGGATGCTGAGATGATTCAGATGTTCCCAATAAGTCCGTTGGCAACGCCCCTCCTTGCCCCCCCCCCCATTTGCTTTCCATCTGCGCAGTGGGGGTTTGAAGAGAAGGAAAGGGGTGGAGGTTTGGAGGTGTATTGAAGGAACAGAGAGCAGTATATGTACATATAGGGGTATGCTGGATGGAGGGAAGCCGTGGCATGGGGATGTGGTATGTATGTGCAGTGGGAGAAAGGGGGATGCCTTGCCAGGCATTAGCCATTGCTGGTACTCCAGAGCTCCCAGTGATGGATGGCCCAGCCACCTCCATGCCTTTCACTCCTGTCTCTGAGGATAGAGAATGTATGGTTTACAGGCCATGTTTTGGGGAGTATGGTTGCTCCCTCTGGGAGAAACTTGCTCGAGGAGGCTCTGCTTAGTGTCATGTTCAAGAGTGAATGGGAATAGTGAAAGTCTTCTGGAAAGAACCACTTGTTGCACAAGTAGTTTGTTCGCAGCTGCTGTGCAGAACATAAGCTGAAGAATGTGCCTTTGTAGGCACTGCAGGCTGTCATGTCATGGTCTGAGTAGGAGTCCCAGGTTTGCTGAAAGATCGTTGGAAATGATAAGCAAAGCAATCAGGATGAAATTTAAGTGAAACTTAATACCTGCTGAAAATAAGTCTTCAAACTGTGCTTAATGAGATGTGCTGTGAATTGGCAAAGATGTTCCCAGGTCCCCTGTTGTGAGTCTCTTCAAGGAAATCTAAACAACAGGGTGGTAATTTCTGCCCACTTGAGGTTTTCCCTTTTAGTTCTTGCTAGAAATTGAGCAGGATGATACAAGTACTTTGCCTTCTTCAGTTTTACCTTATTGGAAATAAATGTATATGTATATTACCATGTTAGAAATATCCAGTATGCTGAGTAAGAATACATTTTTATAGAATAAATTTGCATTTAACAGCTACCCCACATTGGTTTCTGCCTGACTGTAATAGCACAGTAATAGCAAATATTCTTTATATTGTATAAAAGGTGCATTTAAGGACATTGGCTACTTTGTACTCCTGATACAGATGCAAAATAGTCCAGAAGCCACAATACCAGCAGGATTTGAGGACATAACAGTTAAAAAGAAATTATTTTCTGTAGGAAAGACCAAAGAATTCTTCAAAGAATCTTTGCCGTCTCTCTCTTATGGTATTTAGTAAAAAGGGAACAACCTTCGTGTTCTGTTCTCAAAGTAAAAATACTTTCTGTTTGTATCAACTGATCTGATACTTGGGTTTACACTTTATAAGAAAGGGTGCAGCTAAGAGTTATTCCAAGAACTAGTTCATGAGCACTGAATTAACAGTAAGTTATTTAAGTGGGTGCATGCATGAGTTGCTTTCCCACCTTTTATTGCCTGCCCTGCTTAGACACTTCTTTGCAACTCAGTGTAGTGACTTACAAACTCAGATGCCTTAGTATATCTCTGGTATGCTTCTTTCCTTTTTTTTGAAACTTTACATATTAAACAACTTTTTGGTGATAGGAGCAGATGTAAAATATTAGGAAGTATTAACAGAATGAGAAAAAGAGGCCTAATACGCTTTAGTGGGATAATTAGCTCTATTTGAGTGGTCCATTGACTGGAAGAGGTTGAGGAGCATTCATGAGAGCTGCTCAGCAGTGGTAGTTGGGTATGTGTGTCTGACATGATCCTGGGGTATTTGGAGGGGAAAACCTTCAGGATATGAAAACTAATGTTGGAAGTCTGGACTCTGTGAAGGGAAGTCAGCCTGCTAGAAGCCATGGTTGCAAAACACTTGTTCTGTGTGTTCTTTCCTCAGCATTTGGCTATCTGTGGAGAATCCTGACAAGGTTCCAGAAAAAAAGCCAAAATCAGGTATTGCACATTACAGAAGTATTTAATATGCCTATTTTTTCATAAGTTTCATGTACCTTAGGAAACTCTGGCTTTTGTACTTCTGCATTGTTACTGAAACTGTGGCTTTTCAAGCCATTCATTCCCTGGGGCCATCTGTGTAGCCAGTGGCTTGAGGATGTATCACAGGGCCTAGGTTTCTAGACTTCAGTGTCTAGCTTCTCTCAACTAGGCAAGAGTGGCAGGTAATAAACTGCAAGAGTACATGCATGTGTGGAGGGGACGAGGAGGATAAATCCCGCCCTGTGCTGCTTCTCCAGAAACAGGGAATGTTCCCAAAAGCAGGGTGTTTTTGCAGATCCAGCTAGCAGACTCATGGGTTAGTTTTTGAGCTTCGGCTCTGCAGGAGTGCTCAGTGAGCCAGCTAAGACAAAAATCATCACCAACTGCCGCTGGCTGAAGGGTCTGTAACTTCAAATGAGTTGTACTGCTTTCAGTGGGATTAAGGAAGTGGGCTTTAATGCGAATAGAAATCCTAATTCCCTTCTAAATCACGTTCTTATGTGGCCTGTCTTTGTTTTTCAGATTATGCCATCTCTGAGCGTACAGAGAAGGTTGAGGAAGTTTCTGCTGAGGTGAAATCACCAGCCAAGGAAACAAGTGAATGCCGGAAGGCTTCAGTCAGCAATGCTGCTCCAATTAAAAAGTCTGCAGAAGAGGTTAGCAAGGATTTTGGAAAGTAGGTAGAATCTGTTCAGGATGAAAGAAGAAGCAGCTCTCCCTAATGCATCTTGAAATGGGGCCTGCTCTGGGCCTGTACAGCAGTAGGTGGTTCTTTTCCGTTTAGAGCAGGCAGCTCTTGTGTGCTGGGTTTGCCTTACTCAAGTTGTCTTACTCTGCTCTAGCACTAGTAGCTGAGGAAGGAGTTAGATGTTCGTTGTCTTCCAGTTTCTTTATAGCTGTTCAAGTTTATTGTTTTAGTGTGTTTGTAAACTGTTAGTCTCTTTCTCAAGCTTGTAGTTAAGGAGTCAGAATGCATTATTGTACAAGAAAAACTGCATACTTCCGCTGGATAAACCTTTTCCTGCTATCCACCAGTTCAGGAGAGGATTCATGTAGGACTTTGGCTCTGTAAAAATTGGGTCATGAACTGCTCGACTCCCTAGTTTTGATTCAGAGGTATAGTGTTGTTCTTATTGCCCCATAGGTAAGAGGAATAAGAAACTGTCATGCTCTGTTTGTTCTTGAGGCAGTCATTAACTCCTATTTGTAGAAAATATATTTTTTAAGGGCTAAACTATCACACTTTGGAAAGTTTAGGAGCTGACTGAGGAAAACTCAGTGAGTGATAAGCTCATATTGTCTTAATCACTTGCACATATGAGAGCCTGTATCAGAAACTGAAGTGTGCTTCTCAGAGATTCTGCAAAGATTTGCATTCTGCTGCAGTTTGAACCAGCAAGTCATGGTCCACAAGTCATAATAGAGCTGGCTAAATTTCAGGAAGTTTATATTTGCTTGGATTCACATTCAGGTTATATTCATGTTGGTACTTTTTGGGTTTTTTTTAAGACTTGGTCCACTTCTCATACTCCACCTGAAGGACAAACAAGTTCTGCACCAGAAAGAGAAATGCTACAGATTGGTAAGGCTGACCTCAAGTTATTAACTTGTTTCTTTTTTTCCCTACCCTTTAGGCTTAGGTATAGATTACTGAAGGTACGATATCTAAGTAACATCTAAGAATACTTGAGTGTGAACTCTGTTTCTTCTCTGCATCCTGACATTGCTTCTGGATTGGGGTCAGGTGTTTATCTTGTCATCTCAGTACAAGAGCTGCCTTGGATGCAGTCCTTCACTTCTAATATGTCCATGGTTAGCTTGCCAGAAGTAAATAGTTTTAAATGCTTATTTTAAGTAGTAGATGCTGATAACCGTTTTTTATTTCAGGGTTAGGCTGAAACTTCCTGTAGTTGCTAATATGGAAATCTGAAAATATACTAAAGTAACTGTCCTGGGTTCAGTTGCAACAGTTATTTTTCTCCTTAGTAGCTGGTGCCAGGCTGTGTTTTCAGCTTTAATCTGAGAACAATACTGATAACACACTGATGTTTTAGTTGTTGCTAAGTAATGCTTGCCCTGATCAAGGACTTTTCAGTGTCTCATCCTCTGCTAGTGAGGGAGGGCACAAGAAGCAGAGAGGAAGCAGAGACAGGACACCTGACCCAAACTAGCCAAAGGGGTATTCCATACCACAGCACGTCATGCCCAGTATATAAACTGGGGGGAGTTACCCAGAAGGCCAGATTGCTGCTCGGGTCAGGTCGGGCTGGGTATCGGTCGGCAGGTGGTGAGCAATTGTATCCTCTCCCCTTGTTATTTCCCTTATCGTTATTATTAGTAGTAGTTTTGTATTCTGCTTTAGATATTGGACTGTTCTTATCTCAACCTGTGGGTTCAGTACATTCTCCTCCCCATTCCTCTGGGAGCAGGGGGGGAAGAAGGAAGGAGTGAGCAAATGTCTGCATGGTTCTGAGTTACCTGCTGGGCTTAAACCATGACAGTAACATAAACACAAATAGTATTATGATGTAAGGGAGAAAATGAAAATAATTTATCTTTGGTAAAGCTCTTTACAATAAACTCCTAAAATGCTTCAGTTTCCTTTTATAGTTACTGGTGGCTTATGCTCTTCTCTCATAGATAAAATGCCTTGTGAAACCAATACTTGCTTGAATAAGAAAACACTATCCCTTTCTTACAAGACAGTTCCACGTCTCAGGTATAAATCCTTCCGTTTTCTTTGGCTGCTTCTCTGAACAGTTTGCCCTCTTTTACTTTTATTCTTGAACTTTCTCTCTGTTGCCTAGCATTTGTATTTGTGTCCACAAAACTACGCTTTGGTGCCAGTACAGTCACTTTTAGAACAGCTGAGGGTTGGATGGTATGAATAACATGCCTGCATGGTTCTTTGGTCTTCTATATTGACTCATGGCTTGGACTGCTGTGGATATAACATGTGCCTCTGACTGCAGTCGTGACGTGTAGATCAAACAATATGTATATTGAAGGCAGTTGTTCTGATTTCCAGTTTTTCTTTGCACTTCTGTGTACTTTCCCATTACCCAATTGAGGACAGCAGGTCTTCATCTGAAAGTTGTAAACATTTCGTGTCTGTCTCAATCATCATCAGTGTACATGCTTTACAAAATAATTGCTGGTGGAGCTTGAATCAGGAGGTATTCATATATATCAACATATTTGGATATTCAGTTGACACTGTTTCTTTTCCCACTGATGTTTTTAGCACAAGCAGGAATGGCAAGCGTCACATCAAACCTGCTCCAGACAGCATCTTAACACTGAGGCCACCCATTAAGGAGTGCACCATGCCAGAATCCACAACTTCAGAAGTCAGCAAAATGGGGAGGGTGCTCTGTACTGCTGAAGAGGTAGGTGGGGTAAGGAAGGTGTCTCTTGAAATGAAACAACTTAGCAGTGCTGCAGAACTGTCTGTAAGCTGTGGAGTGGCAGTTTGTAACAGCGTGGTGGGGGTAGGTAATGAAGCTGAAGGTCTGCTTCTGGAAAATCAGCATATAGCATTTTATTTGCCTTCACATGCATCAAGTCTTGGAACAGAGGAGTTCTTTGTTGCCAGAAGATTGAGTTTTTTAAACCATTTTCATGGAAATGGGGGGGGGGGGCCCTCCAGCCAGTTTGACTTGTAATTGGAGCTGTACTGCCTTGTCACTAAGTGTTTGTGTGTTGCAGAGTTGTGTCACTATCTTGTCCTTAATGCAGCTCAATTGTGATCTTTACATAGCAACTTCAAAAGGATAATGTAGGCAAAACACCACTCTGTTGCTGAAAGGAAGGATTATTTATATTATCTGAGAGGTCTTTCCCTGTCATTTCCTTCCAACATCTGAAGCAACTATTAAAAATTCCTGATAAGCCTGGCTTACGTGGAGATTTTACACTGGAGTACTGGAGAATCAGGCCATAGCAACCTGTGGAGTATGGTTAAGATACTCTGGGGACTTGTAACACTCGATCGTTATGTATATTGACAGGAATGCATATTAGCCTGAATTATTATGCAAGAGGTGCAGATGACAGCTGAAGAGGCTCCCATTTGAGGAAATAGTTGCAGAAGGCATTTTGAGGTTTATAGTGGGACACAAGTTGCTAGATCAGGGCTAACACAAAGCAAAGATGTGGAAATTCCTCATAAAGTAAGCTTGAATAATATACCAGTATTTTGGGAACAGCTTGTGCAGTCTGCACTGTCTCCAGATAACAAACATTTGCTTCATATGCAGGAGTTCTAATCTGCTTGTTTTTCCACTCCATTCTGCTAGGATGTTCAGCGAGGAGAAAAGGAGAAATACAAACAGCTCTTGGAACTGGTTAAGGAAAAATATCCTGGAAGCTGCCCTGATCCACAGGCGACGAGCTTCCGCAAGTAATTATCAAAAAATAACTATTGGGGTTTTGGTGGTAACTTTGTACCTGTTGTACATGGAAGCGGAGGGGAATTATTCTTTCTCAGGGCTTTGAACAGTGTCCTAGGGCAGGTGTTGGGGCAAAGTAATTTTTAGAAGGCCAGTCCCCCTGCTTCAGCTCCCTGCAGTGAAGCGTGAATATTCTCTGAGTGTATATTCTAAATGTGAAGATTCACGTGTTCACATGAATGTGTTTCATTCTTTTCTCTCTGTGTTCAGAAAGGTACTCTGTAGTTCTAGTAATGGCAGTGTCACTTCTAGTATAAAAATCCACAGCACTGATTATTCTGTATCTTCCTTTTGTTTGTGATAGATGAGTTTTTTTCCTTGGTCAGGAATCCCGTTTTATCTGAGAATGTGAAAGTTAAGGTAAACACAGGGCATGCCAGAATTTTCTCTGTTCTTTTCCACCTCCCCCAGTCCTTCTCACACAAATTATCCTAAGTTTTCTCTTTGCAGTACATTAAACTTCTGAATGTAAACTGCCTTCTCATGGAAATGCCCTTTGCATTTTGTCGTGAAACCAGTGCAGGAGACGAGATATTTATATTAAGGGATTAAACACCCCAATTTTACTTCACATATTTCCATTGCTTTAACTGTGGCTTCCAACTCTAATTTAGACAGTTGTGTACAAATAAAATGGATCCTTTCTAGTGAATTGGTATGCACTGATAACACATACCATCTGTATAAAAGTTGTGACTCTCCTCTGGTGTTTCTTTGCTCCACCAAAGTGTTCAAGTCTACTCCAAGGAGCCAGTGATGACTGAGGGGCGCCTGGAAGAACAGAAATACAGAGGAGATGGGTATCCATGTATGACACTAACGACCAGTGAGTATCCTCCAGTTTCATGTCTGTTAGACTTTGTAGGTAGACTTCAAAATAGGGCATTTCCTGAAGTCTTAAAGGTATAGGTTTTGTTAAAAAGATTTGTGTGTCATTAATCTGTGCCTATTTAAAAGGAAATCTAAATCAGCCAGCATGGTAAGCATAGTATAGCTTATGTCAGCTCTTAGAATGAAATGAGCTGTCTCAGAGAAGAAGGAGGAGGGCAAAGAGGAAGGGAACATCCCTCCCAAACCATAGCTAGTTACTGGCTGAAATGGATTTGTGAATTTTTGTTGAAGTGAAAAGATTTGTTTAAAATTATATTTGAGAGATGTTACTGTACCAGTGATGTTAATAGCTGCCGACATAATTGTGCTGTACAGAGAACATCATAGTACTTTGCTGTTTGTACTAGGGGAGGTTGATATGTTACTGTGCACCCTTACATTACTTTTACTTAACTTAGAGTTGCAGGTATGTGTTACTCTTTAATTCCTTTTTAATGCTTATACATGACTGTTTCTGTGCTGGCTGAGCTTTGAAACCACGTAAGCTAACTGCACAGTACCACTGTTCATATCAAGCTATCTTCTTTTGTAGATCATCCTTAGTGAGTTGAAGATACGTAACTACTAAAGGTGTCTTCTGCAGAGTGGGCTAGTTAAACTGGTTTGCTGACAAGCTAGTTTCTTTTGTACCAGCAATGTGTTACAATAACATGTGTTCATGTCTATACATTTACTATTGCCCCAGTCATTCATTACTTCAATAATTTTCATCAATACTTCTTTTTACATATCCATGACTTCATTATGCAGTCATGTGGGTTTTGAAATTATTTCTGAGCAGGTGCTAAAATTTGAGGAAAGCTTGTTTTGTTGTGGAGAGTGACAAGCTATTCTTCTGAGCCAGGAGAAGCATCTGGGTTTGCAAAAAATCACTTGTTCAGTCAAGTATGCAGTCTAGGATTTAAACCTGCCTTGCTTCAGCTGCCATACACTTCCACATGATACTCAAAGTTCAAACTGTTTGACAGAGTTTGAACTTCCTAGCCATACAGCCATCATTAAAAGATTTTGGGGTTTTTTGTATTATCCCCCAGAAATCAAGAGCTGTGTACATGTGATGGTAATAGAAAGTTGACTTCTTGTTTTCATATTGCTTCTTTTCTCTTCAGGTATCAAATGCACAGATGTTTGCAACTCACAGTGGTCTCAGAGAAATGATATGATCAGGTAGAGTTTTTTAATCATGGCTTTTGTTTCTTTTGGCTTTTGTGTATGTCTCTTTCAGCCTCCAGAAGATGACAGACCATATTTACTGCTATATTTGGATGCAAGTGTAGTTGCAGAATAACACCTAGTATGCAGTATTTATTACTGGTAGATCACAAAGCACTTGGTAGAGGAAGTGCTGGTTGCTTCCCTTAGTTTTCCAAATAGTGAAGATGATAGACAGAAACAAAAAGATATCACACACGTAGGTGGAAGAAAGCTTGCAAAGCTTGCAGTTCTTCATGCCGTCCCAGTCTCACTGCTACAAAGGAATGGTTCTGGAAGCTGAGACAATGTCACATGTTCATGTGTGCCACTGAGGCTCTAGTCATATTCAGCCTTGAAAAAGCATTTCTGGTCCAGAAGGTGAATTCTTGAGAATTACATGGGACAGTACAGATATACAGCTCATTTCTCTCCCTTTCTCCCTGTTCTTACAGGTACTACACACCAGCAGAAAACTCTCGTGAACAGGGAAGACCAGTGAAAAAAACCACTGGAAAGGTAAGCTCGTGTTATTAGTTATTTCTTTTTATTAGGAAAACGTACCTATTTGTGGTGAGAAACGTTTTCACTCTTCATTTACATATCTTGTTGAGTAAGTTGTGTATTTGTCCCAGTTGTTTTTCCTAGGGAACGCAGGAGCATTATTTGATGAGTAGTGCTATCACAAAGGGTTTTCCGCTGCCATTAATTTTGTTTCTGTATTATTATGAGCATACTACACTGTACTATTTTTAATCTTCCCCTTTAATCTTTCACTTCAAAATTTTTAGTGCATAGACTTAGTTGACCTGCAAAGTTGGACTGTGGTGTCTTTAGTTTTAGAATTACAGAATCACAGGCTGGTTTGGGTTGGAAGGGACCATAAAGCTCGTCCAGTTCCAACCCCCTGCAATGGGCAGGGCCCCCTTCCACTAGACCAGGTTGCTCCAAGCCCTGTCCAACCTGGCCTTGGTCTTGTCGTCTTTTGTGAGACAGGAAGTATGTCCCTTTGACTTTCATCTCTGATCAGGACAGAGATCAAAAATAAAATTCTAATCTTAGGAATCAGAAATATCAAGCTCAAGCTCAAATTGATACTTATGTGTGAAGGCTTTGCTGGGGTTCGTAATGCTAGTTCAAACCAAACCACCTTTCTGCCTCTCTTCCCTTAGTTTAAGTTTTGAATGCAGCACTACATGGGTGCACAGGTGGAATGCAGTCATCAATAAAAGGTGACTTTGAAGCTGGCTGGTTACATGTGTGTACAAAAACCATTCCAGCTTTATATATGAGCAAGAGTTTCTGTGCTATCCATAGCAAACAAATCTGTGCTTGCTTGCTACACTATCATCCTTTTGTCTAACAGAAATGGTATGAAGCTGAAATCTCAGAAGAGGTGTTACTCCAATTACATCTGGCACCCGTTCTGCCCAGAAAGTCATCTGCCCTTCATGTGGAAGAGGAGAAACTCCCAAGCTCAGAAAAAACAGTAGAACGCTTTTCTCCACTCACAGAGGTACTGTGGCTAAGTGTGTGTTAGATAAAACAGTTGTGAAACAGCAGCAAGGGACTCCATTTATTGTAGGTGGTTTTTAAGGCTTCTTGAAATCCTAAGAACTTGCATTTAACCTGCTACTGAGTGTCTGTAGCTTCACAGTGCAAGAATCGGCAATAAAGCTGGTTTTAAGGATTTCCTATGCTCCACACACTTCAGTTGTGCTAACCTATGGGTTTGTGGGGCTTCTGCTACCAGTTTAACAACAGAGCAGTGCTAAGCGGATTAATACAGTTGTATTGCCTCTGCTCCTTAACCTGTCCTGCCATGGTGATAAAACCTGAAAAATAAGCTTTTGCTGACCCACGGTGTTGCATTGCTTGTGGGGGACCTGAGCATCTTGCATACATCCTCAGGGCCTTGCAGAGTCATGTTTGCACGCTGGGCATCGTTATAGTGGTCACAGGAGTTAACTTAGTTACACTATTTGTCAGGGAGTGGGAGTGGAGGTTCCCCTACTTGTGTAAATTTTGACTGCTTTTATTCTTTGGAGTTGCAGTCGTGCTGACCTAGAGCACAGGTGTTTGCTGTACTTCTGTTCATTCTTCAGCTGCTTTAGTGGTTTGCTCGTCTATATGTTTATATCGGCTTACTCTGTGAAAACAAATTGAAGCAAACTTGGGTTCTATAGTTCAAAGTTAGGATGCTGAAACAAACTAACAAAAAGTCCTGTTGCTAACTTAGCAAAAAAAAACTGGCAAAGGCAATTGTCACTTGAGCTTAGTTTACAGGCCTTGTTTCAGTTGAAACAGGTCGACACACTCAATACTCTGACTCACAAGTTCTTCCTCATTTAATTGTTCATTTCAGGCTATGGAGAGAGAGGTCATTGCCGCATTTGGTAAAGGGGAACCAGATGAGATCATGAGCAGTGCCTTCAAACTAAGGGTGACTCGTGAGGACATTCACACGCTAAGGAACCTTCACTGGCTTAATGATGAGGTAAAACTAGCTGCAGCACAGTGATACTGTAATTCAGCATTGATTTTAAAAATCAGTGATGACGTCATTGCGTATAGAAGTCATCAAGAGTTCCTTGATGACCCCCCCCTACTGCAGAGCCTAGAAATATCTGTCAGTTCTTATTTTAGGTACTTAAGGGTCTAGTGTTTCTGGAAGTTCCTTTACTCGTTGTATTATGCAGCTTCCAGGAGTTAGTCTGGGTTATTGGAATGGTGTTTTTATGAAACTGCAGAAATAACCAAGCACAAACTTCTCAGAACAAAAGCTGACTCCAGCTGAGGCTGGAGTTCCCCCCCATCTGCATATTTTAGGGTGGCCAGCAAAGACATGTTGCTAAATTTTCTATTTGGTAAACTGGTGTCTTATTTTACATCTTGTCTTTGTGGTACAGGTCATTAATTTCTACATGTCTCTTCTGGTGGAAAGAAACAAGAAGGAAGGATATCCAGCAGTCCATGCTTTTAGCACTTTCTTTTATCCCAAACTAATTTCTGGGGGCTACAGAGCGGTAAGAAGATGGACCAGAGGCGTGGATCTCTTCAAACAGGACCTCGTCTTAGTGCCCATTCACTTGAGGGTGCACTGGGCACTAGCAGTGAGTCAAACTAGCTTTTTATTTAGAGTTGGGGGTTAGAAAATAATGAGACAAGTCATTTAGGTTTGGTGTGTGTGCTTCATCTAACAGTCACCTTTTAATAACAGGTCATAGATGTCAGAAAGAAGACCATCAAATACTTTGATTCAATGGCACAAAGAGGGGACAAGATTTGTGAAACTTTGTTGTAAGTAACTGCTTGGTCAATGTTTTTATGTTGTGAATTATGAGAAGGTGTTTGAATTTTGTCCAAGTTTTCACATTTCTTGTAAACATGAAATAAAAACCCTGGATTCACTTCCTGCAAGTTGTGTGACACTGGCTATTTAGCTAGTCTCACATTGTCCCCTCCACCCAGGGTCTTGGATGCCTGGATTATGCCACCTTCCCACTACATGCACAGACAGAGCATCACTGTCAAATAAGTGATAACCCCATGGCACACATATACTGACTTTGTTATTAATCAATAAATCTGGGCTGTTGATAAGAGGGAAGAATCGCAGGTGAGAGTTATGAAATATCAAACTGACTGTCAAAGGATTACAGTCTTCCAAGAGCTTTTTAACTCCCCCTTCTTTAAGAACTTCCATATTGGGGCTCAGTAATGTTGGTGTCCTAAAGTACATACATTCCTATTTGTCATCAGCTACAAATACTTTTACTCTTTATTGCTTAACTCTTCTATTCTTTTCTTATATCGAGTCCTTTTTTTATTTGCCACTTGCAATGTTTACCCATTATACTCTAGTGAGCTGTGCAACATGCTTCTCCTCAATTTGTCTATAACTTTTCTATTCTGTTCAGTCTTCTAAACAAAGCCACCATATTTCCCTCCAGCTTACAGGAGCAGGCTACCCTTGTGTCCTTGCAGTGTGTTAGTCATATTTCTGACATTCTCATTTAAGACAGATGTCTTATAGCAAGCTTTCCCAGATGTATCAGCTGGCATGGCTCAAATATAATGGGTACAGTTTTTCATGCTGTGCAAGCCAGCATCCTTAGATGTTTTTGCCACTGATGCAGAAGTAGTAAAAAACCCTTAATCTAACAACTTTGTAGAGCAAGAGCAGGAGAGCAACCCCACAGAGACAAGCCAAGTGTTGTGTTAGTCCAGTTCTCTCTTGAACAGTTAACAGCAGATGCCTGGGGAAGGGTGTAAGAACAGGTCTGCATAGAATAATTTCTTTCTCAAGAGTATTCTTCCAACAACTGGTGGCCTGGAAAATTCCTTAGCCAGAGGTATTAGCCCAAAAGTTTTTGTATTTGTTCTTCCAGAGGCGCACGTGGTGTGTGGGATTAAGGTACGCAGTGGCATTACGGCATTATGGTTCCTTGTTTGGTTCTCCTCCTCCTCTGATAATATGTGATTTGGGATCTTCTGACCCTAAATCTAAGCAGTGAACTTACACTTCTGTGGAAGTCTCTGTGGCTTCATTCCTGACCAGTTGGTCTAATTCCTGATCATTAGCTTGCTGCCTCTCACTGTGTGTGTAAATTTAAGACTTGGATTTTTTCTCCAAATGCCTTAAATCAGCTGCTGTGAGGACCTGCTGATATTTTACTGTCCTGCTACTTACCTTCCTGTGATCCTTCAGCAGCTCTTTTTTTGTAGGTCTAAATTACAGATGTGAAGAGTGATTTTATTTTGTTTCAAACAGCCAATACCTGCAAGAAGAAAGTCAAGAAAAAAGAAATCTGGAGCTCACTTTCTCAGAGTGGACTCTTCACAGCATGGAGTCACATGTATGTGAGCACTACTTGGATTTGAAATGTGAACTATAACTCATTGTCACAAAGGTCTCGGCATTTAGAGAATGGCCACAAGCATCTCATGTTCTTATGGTACTGCATCAGGCTGCTAGTGGGCCAGAAAACCATGCTGGGATGAAATCTTTAAGCAGTGCCAGGTTGCCTCAAGCCCCTGTGTCCAACCTGGCCTTGAACACTGCCAGGGATGGGGCAGCCACAGCTTCTCTGGGCACCCTGTGCCAGCGCCTCAGCACCCTCACAGGGAAGAACTTCTTCCTGATGTCTAACCTAAATCTCCCCTCTTTGAGCTTGAAGCCATTCCCCCTTGTCCTGTCACTACATGCCCTTGTAGAAGCCCCTCTCTAAAAAGCAGTATCTAAAGACTTGATTTAAGAAACATGACACTATGCAAACCTAAAGAAACCTTGCAGAGAGGAAGGCTTCTATCCCTTATTAGCCTGGCAAGAATTTGGGTTATTAACATCCAAGTAAAGGAAGCAGAGGGGAGGGATGATGTGCAGTTAATTGGGTCTATTCGTTGTGTAAACGGATTATGCAAATCAATTTTGGTTAGTGTATTGTTGGGATGAATAATGTGTGCTGCTTCCAAATTGCTTTCCTTTTAAGATAGAGAAATACTCTCCATCTTCTTTGCATTCATTTAGGAAATCCCTCAGCAACTGAATGGAAGTGACTGTGGAGTTTTTATTTGCAAATATGCAGATTACATCTCCAGAGACAAACCCATCACCTTTACCCAGGTAAGCTCCAGACTTTTTCACATGGATACAAGGGTCAGGGAAGTTACACAACAGCTCTTAATTGTGTCTGGGGCAGGGGCTGAGGTTTTGTACCTTCCTCTGGTTTTGGTGTGTAGTTGCTGGGGTTGGAGCTTCAAAGTGGCCTCAGGAGGGCAGAGCTGTATTCTCCATCCTTAATGTCTGGTATCTGCTTCCTAGTTGGATCAGTGAGATTCCTCTTGTGCAAGTTACTGTAGTCAGTCGGTCTGTGATACCTGGCCTTTGTATCTTTTGGAGAAATGGGCTTCACCCTTTGATCAGTTAAGACACTGGTTATTTTCCAGCGTGGTGGTCTTTTATTAGAGTGCTGATAAGCTGTTGTATGGTCAAGTAGATCTGGTTTTATTGTGTTGTCACGTCACCTTCTTCGGAGCTGTGTGGGTGAAACCCATATTGTACTCAAATGGCAAATGTTGACAATTCTTAAAAGGAACTTCACATTAAAGAATTAACTGGGTGTTTATGCATATTTTCTGCCTCTTTCTACTGTGACTTCATATTTAATGGATTTTGGCTTTTTTTTTTCTTTTCTTTTCAGAATCACATGCCTTACTTCCGCAGGAAGATGGTGTGGGAAATAATCCATCAGCAGCTGCTGTGAGACATGCACTATTAGAATAACACTGTGATCACCTTGGGGTGACTAGCTCTCATTTTAGTTACTTTATTAAATTCTTATTTGGTAAGACAGCAGGCACACAATTTTTCCTCTTTAGGCTATGAAGTAGCGGTTAAACCCACCCCCCCCACACACCTGATTTTGGAGACAGTAACTCTCTTAGGAAGTAGAAGCCAGAAAGATTGCTGTGACCTTGCCAAGGGAACGGTTGAGAACAAATGCTGTGAACCTCTGTCATTGAGACAGATGCTCGTACCTCAGAGCACACGTGGCCACATTACGGACAAATGGGACTCTCTCTGTGGTGGTGGTAACAGTTGTGTTAGCTGAACTTTATCTTCCCAAGGACAATGTGCTCGGCTACTGTTTCTTCAAAGAGAGTTTTCTTCTGTTTCTGGAATATCTATGATCTACTTGATTCCTAAAACTGGATTTGTGATGACCATAGAAAGAATTTACCATGTTTTGATTTGTAACAAATCCATAGTGAAGCCCCTATAGTTGGGGTTATTTTGTTTTGGGGGGGGGGGTGTTCATTTGTTTTTTGTGCTTTGGGGTTTGGGTTTTTTTTCGTGTCTCCAGGGAGTCACCTAATGTGAAAAATATTTATTTCTTTTTATTAAAATAAGGCTCTTGTAAAAGTTACATATTTATTGGAATGAAACTCTACCTGGCAATGAAATAGAGTGATTTTTACTGTTTTTAAATTGAAGAAGATTTTGATGTATCAATGTGGGGTTTAGCTCACGTACAATCTGTGAGGAAGAAGACTCTAGCAAGGATGAGTATCGCAGCACAAAAACCTCTAAGTGATTGTCACAAAATCCTGAAGGGCCAATCAGGATGTTGTTCAGCAGCAAGATGAGCAAGCACAATCCTGGTAATACCAAAGCAGGAGATACCTCTTTGTGGTAATTCATGAGTCTTCTCAGTAGGACTACAAAGCCATGAGTACAGCTTGGTGAACATGGGCTGTCCAGTGCTGGAATGAATGTGTTTAAGGTTAGTACAGGGGTATCTCCATGCAGTATTGAAGCATACTGTTGTGGAAGTGGAATAAAATATGCTAGCACTGATGTGCTGGGCTATGGACATGTGTCCTCCTTGGTTCAGTGGTGTTGCTGGAACAAGTTACTGCTTTTTTGCCCCTCTGCTACAAGTTCTGCCTGCATGTGTCTGCCAAAAGAAGAGCTTGTTTGAACTCTCACCGTGTTACAGTCAGACCAAGCTAGGTGTGTTTAAACATGGGTGTTCTCCTTAGGTTATGCTTCAGAACTGGAGTAGGATTTCAGGTCTTTCATTTACCAGTGCAGAGGAAAGATTGCCCCCTAGCTGGTTTGGAAGTCACATGTTGGAATGCCTGTATAAATAACTGTGTCAGGTTGTTTCTGTAATGGCATAGTTACAATAATGTAATGTGATACCTGATTGGTGATGAGGTTATCTCCTGTCCTCAGCAGTGAGGAGAGAGAGGGTGATTTTGGGGGCATCCCCTCTGTCATTGCAGGTGTGATCAGCCTTCATGGTGCTGCTCCTTGCCTGAAGATCTGCTCTCCTGGGAAAGCTGATAAGGTGGTTTATCTGTGTTGCAGGTCAGTAGCTGCATCAGCATTTGCTTTCAAACAGATTAGGTTCAGAGCAGATTCTCCAAAGAGAGAACTGTTACAAAGGCAGTCTGTCATGTTTTGTCCTTACACGAGGTGTTTAGTCTTCCCTGGCTCCCTGAGGACTCAGGAAGATTTTAACACTATTAACACTAGGACTATCCCAAAAGCCTCTGTGTAAGAGATGCTGGGAAAATTGTACATGTACCAGTCAGTATCCCCTCTGTCTAGAAGGTCATCTCATGGGCTCTGGCCCTTCAGCTGTGGCTTGGTTCCTTATGCCCCTACACTATGTTCCAAGACACCCTGTGGAAGGAAATAGCCTATTAGCTTCTGTGCTTTGGATGAAGGTTGTGTGCAGCATCTGGGCCTTACTTCTTATAGTACCTTATAGTACCTTAGTACTTCTTATAGCACCTTATGGAGGTGATGAGCTTGTGCCTTCCTGTGCTGATGGGAAAACATGTAGGGAGTGAGTAACGCTGCATCCCCTAGCCATTGCCCTGGGTGCAGGGGTGCTTGTCATCCAGCTTTATGCATTTCTGATGCTATCTATCTGCCCTATGACGTGGTCCTTGCTCACAGGAAGAATGTGGTGAGGCTCAGAAACCGAGATTAGGTCAGGCTGAGCCTCAATGATGAGCACTGGTCTCAGGGCTGCACCACTGGACTCCACCAGTCCTGCAGAGTCATTCATTGCTGGTTGGGGGTGAAGGGTGGCAGCAAGCAAGAAAACTGATACTCTTCTTTGAGATTGCTTTGTGTTGCAGGTGGGGAAGGGACTTTTGGTTTTGCTCTGGGTACCTTTCCAAAACACGGGCATGACATGATGTGGTTTACTGCTATGATATATTACACTCTGCCCTCCACAGTTACCACCACCTCCATGGCACTGCATCCTCAGTGCCTGATGGGTGGGAACAGAAAGGCACAGCTATGGGGGCTGTGGGATGTTCCCTTGTTGTGACATCCATCACCACCCTGTGTGATGCCCAGATGCAGAACTTCCCCTTGCCACCATTTCATGTACAGGACAACCAAGTGCTACTTTGGTCCTTTCCCCACTGGGTGTTGCAGTGTTTCGGTTTTGCTAACTAACCCAAGAGACATATATGGCCCTTGGCTTAGTGCAGGGGGAGATATGGCTTCATGATGGCAACACCTCCCCAAGCAACTGGATAAAGCTATGCCTGGCAATGCCTGCAAACATCCCCTTCCCTCCACCCGAATCAGGCTGGTTTGTGTTGGAAGGGACCTTAAAGCTTGTCCAGTTCCAAACCCTTGTCATGAACAGGGACACCTTCCACTAGAGCAGGTTGCTCCAAGCCCCTGTGTCCAACCTGGCCTTGAACACTGCCAGGGATGGGGCAGCCACAGCTTCTCTGGGCACCCTGTGCCAGCGCCTCAGCACCCTCACAGGGAAGAGCTTCTGCCCAAGAGCTCATCTCAATCTCCCCTCTGTCAGGTTAAAGCCATTCCCCCTTGTCCTGTCACTACATGCCCTTGTAAAAAGCCCCTCTACAGGACTTCTGTCAGCCCCTTTAGGTCCTGGAAGGCAGGATATGTCCCCACCTCCCCATCCACCCCTTGGCTTAACTGTGACCAATGCAAAGCACTCAAAAGAAAGCAACAGATAGCAAGCTCAGGCTCTCGTTAGCTGGATATATTTCTTTGTTGGTTTGATTGCTGTTGGGTTGGGTTTTCCACAGAACACTTTGCAGTAGAGGAACGTGGTGGGGCAGCCTGTGAGGCCAGCGCCTGCACACACTCAGCTCAACACGCTGCTCCCATTCCACCCCATCCCTCCTCTCGCCTGCTGGGTTTCACTGCTTTCATTTGTTGGGGTTTTTCTTTATTCTATACTTTATTTTTCCTTTTTTTTTTTTTGTCTTTTTAAACATTTCTCAAGCTTTCTCTGAAGGAATAGCCACTGGCTCTCAGCTAGCAGCAGGAGACTACGGAAGAGCTCTGGCACGCATGGGATGGGTTTCCTTCTCCCGCCTCGCAGCTGACTTGGTCAAGATCGTTTTCCAACTCGGTTTTTATTAAAAAAATAAAAAAAATGCTCCAACTATCAGTTTTACAAGGCATACAAAATCTCTAAAAGGGAAACACAAGCGCAAGGTGCTGAGGTATGAAAACCTGAGGTAGTTTCTCTGTGTGTGTATGTATGTGTGTGTCCTGGGGGGTTGGGTTTCTTTTTATTTAAAAATGAATTTGCTAGTTGTTTTTTCCAGCCCTGGACAACAACCTCTGGTAAAGCTGTTTCCCCCCTTCCTCCCCTTTGCCCCTCATCTCCCTGCAACAGTGATCTTTCCCCAAGGATCCCTGCCCAAAGCAGGCACCGCTAGTGCTGCTCATCCGCGGGAGGGGATGTAAGTGCTGAGCACGGCTGGGCTGGGCAGTGATGGACAGACAGACAGAAAGGGGATAGAAGGGATGCAAACCCCCATTTTGGACTCTGTGAAGTGAAGAGGATTGGGTGTGTGAAAGAGATTCCTCTTTTAGGAGACGGTATCCCTTCTGTTGGCTCATACAGGCACTGCTCGTCTCAAAGCCCTTAAGAAACTGCTTTTTAACACTCATTTTTCCCCCTGCTGCTGGCAATCCTACATCTCTACTGTGCATTAGAGAACCAATGGACTAGCTCCTTTCCTTAAAACTCTAAAAAAGCTTGCTTTTGCTAAAAACCAAACACCTCCCTACCCCGGTCCCCCTGTGAAATTAAAAAAACGAATTAAAAAAAACCCCCAAAATTATCTTACAAAACTTAAAAAAACCCCAATAAAATAAAATCAGTGTTAGTTTTGTTATTGATATATTAATTCTACACTCGATGAGCACTGCAGCCCCCCAAGCCTGGATGAAACGGGCGGCTTCTAGGACATTATAAATCTCTCTCTCTCTGCCTATGTTAGTCCAACTAAAGGGATAGCGTCAGGACGCGATGGACACGGAGCGGGGGGGAGGCTGTGGGATGGGAAGAGCCCTCAATACCCCTCCCCATACCCTTGCAGCACCCTGGCTGCAGGCAGGGGAGGGTTGGGGGGGTCTTTGGTTTGCTCCCCTGACCTGCTGGGGGTCCGCTGGCGGTGGGGTTACATTCATTGGGTGGTGCTGGCCGGCGCGGCGGGGGCCTCACTTGCTGTGCTGCGAGGCCGGGGCTCCCTGAGCAACGTGTTTCTGCTCCTGCTGCTTCACCTGCTGGACGATCTCCCTGATCTTCCGCTGTGCGGTCTTCCGGGGGGAGCAAGAACGGGGGTCAGGGTGGGCACCACAAACATTTGTCCCCACACACACACAACAGCACCTCGCTGCTTGTCACCCTCTGAACTTTAAATTACAGGACAAGCACATGTAACCCTTCATTACACAGCTGTAATGTCACTTTAGGAGGCACTAAGGGACCTCTCTGCTCCCACCACACAGCTGCAAGTGAAGCCCTGCAGGGGTTTAACTTGTGCTTCCTTCAGAGCTTCAGTTTTGGGGTGCTGCTGTCCCACTCAAAGCATGTGCATCCATGGTAGGATGAGGGTGCCTGTGGGAGCTCCCGGCCAGTGCTGATGCCAGGGAAGAGCTGATTCATAAGCATGGTGTCTAAGCTAAATTGAGCCAATCTTTAATGCTAGCACAGCTGGGGAGAGCTGCCAAAACACCTTTAAGCATCCTGGGTGCACAGGACCCAGCCAAAACAGAGCGGCGGGATGCTCAGCGACTTACTTGGTGGATTGAACAGGCAGGGAAGCTCAGAAAAGCCACAGCAAAGCTTACCTGACTGGCAAAGAAATGCCCAATGATTTTAACGATGACCTCCTCATTCTCATCTGGGGTTTGGTCTCGTGGCACAATGACTTCTGCACTAGTTAAGTTCTGCAATTCGTTCACCTGGGGTAAATGACAGAGCCCCAGCTTTTGTTGCAGAACAGTCAAAATCCTTCACTGCCAGCATCGCCCCCCGGCTCCTAGCCAGCACACAGCACCAGGCTGAGGTGGGTCTCACCTTGCCCCCTCATCCCAGTGAGAGCCACCACCAGGACACAGAGCAGGGGTCAGGATGCTGCTCTGTGCCCAGGGGCAGGCCAGGGTGGTGAGTGATGCCCAGCTCTGCATTCTCAGGGCAGGGGGGAGCATCCCTGCACCCCTCACCTACCGTCTTGCCACCTTTGCCTATCACGCGGCCAGCAGCGAAGGAAGGCACCTTGATGTGGGCTTCAAGCTTCACTTCTTCTTTTGGGTTAAAGAAGTTTTCCTCTTTCAGCTTCCCAAATATCCGCCCCTGGGCCTGGAGAGGAGATGTAAGGGAAGTAAACCCTTCAAGCAGCAATCCTGGCAGTGCCTGCTCTGCCCGGAGGGTGATGATGGGCCCATGTCTGGCAGCATCAAAACAATGGTACTGAGCAAAAAGCACTCAGTAGGATACAAACCCAGGCTAGCAGCATGGCAGCAACCAAAGCGTGCTCTCAACTTGTCCCCAGCTACAACCCTAACCCCATGGCCAACACACCTTGAACTGAGCCTCAGGTGGCCCTGTGATGATGACCATCCGCTCACTGGCGTCGGGACCTTCTGCCGGGGCGATCTGCAGAGGGATGGGGGTGAAGGAACGTAAGTGTAGCCCTGCTTTGGCAAGACCTCCTCAGCGTAGGATGTCCACCCCATCCAGGGGCATTCCCTCCCACCCCATAAGGGGTGATAACCAGGGTGTTGCAGGAATGGGTTTCTACTAACTTAGGGAGCAAAACCCTTCCCCAGGGCTCCCATTCGCTGCCCTCAGCAGTAGGAAGGGGAAACTGAAGCACAAAGCCTGGGACCAGCCCCACAGCACCCTGCTCACCTTGATGGAGGCGCCGGCAAACCGTGCCAACTGCTTGATGTGCTGCCCCTTCTTCCCAATGATGGCCCCCACTGCCTGTGTTGGGATGAACAAGTTCACAACCTCCTGCTCTGGCAGCTGGTAAGAGCATGGAAGAGCAACACAGTCAAGAGACCAGCATGCCAGGGGACCAGCTGCCCACACGATCAAAGTGGGCATGCAAAGATCACACAGAAGGAGGTCCTGGAGCACTTACGGGGTGCTGATGGGGAAAGGCGCTGGCTGGGGGGGCTCCATACAGACCCGACAGGTATGCTGAGGAGCTCTATGGTGGGAGAGAAAATGAGGGTCACCGATATTCCCAACGTGCCAGCCCCTTCCTGTCCCCTCCCAGCCTGATGCAGAGTAGTTTGCTACCACTGTGAGCCTGGCAGGGACATGGGGACAACCCTTCAGCCCCTGAAACCCCTCCTGGGGAGCACAGATGAGCTGCAGCCTGGGTCCTGCACCTGAAGCACAGCACAAGAAGGCTGAGAGATGGATGGGAGCTAAATCCATCTGTAACCACCATCGGTTCCCTGCGGAGAAGGTGGGGGTTTGGTGAGAACTGAGCAAAAAGTCTAGTTTGGCTGTGACTGCCATCACCATTTGCCTTCTCCAGTTCCAAGAGAAGAAAAAGCAACTGCTTAAGAAGATGCTCTCCCAAGACCTGGGCTGGGATCAGGGGGAAAGCAGCGGGTCTCCATGGCAAAAAGCAAAAGGTGCATACCAGCACCCCAACTCAACCCAATCCAACTCCTCTTCCATTCTTCTGCTTCTCAAACACATTAGACATTTCTCCTGGCAGCAGACACAACTCTCCTGCTCTGGATTTGGGCAAGTACAACCGGATGCTACCTGTAAGCCAGTGTTAGTCGGGTGGGGAAGACTCGGCTTCCTTGCCCACAGCAGACACTGCTCATGCTCCCAACCCTCTACTCAAACCCACTGCGTTGCGGTTTTGTGCTCTTCCTTGCACCAAGTTTCATGTCCACCCTCTGCTTCTGGCCACGGGCTGCTCCATGTCTCCTATACCAACATGTCCTCTCCTACTCAGCCAGGACAGGCACTGCACCTCCCCAGCTCCCCCTGCTCACTGTGAGCCTCCTTCCTCATCATCCTCTCCATCCTTCCTCATCCTCGCCAGGTCTCTAGAGCTCCACAGATGAAGCTACAGCCACTGGCCCCAGGTCCTGCTGAGGACATGGTCAGAAATGACCACTCTTGAGGCGTGAAACACAAAGCACCCTCCACAGGGCCATCACACACACATCACACTCATCCTCCCCTCCAGCCTGGCACTCACCGTTCTCCTCCGACCACTCTGCTGCTGGCGTCGCCAGGAAAAGAAAACAGCACAAGTAAATTAACCCACGTGCAGCCAAAGCATCTCGGCACAAGGATTTAGAGAGACTATCAGACAGACCACAGAGCCTGGTCATCCTCAGGGTGCTCTGCAGGTGCTAGTGGGCTGAGGATGGACCTTCTCCGTCAGCATTATGGCCAGCATGTTTTCCTGACACTGGACTGTCCCTGCCTGCCCGCAACCTCAGTGGTTCCCAAACTGCTTCCCAGGCTTGCTCTGCCCAAGGTCTCAGCAGCCACAGCACCCCAAGAAAGAGGAAATCCCTTGCCTGTAAGGCCAGGTGAAGATCAGTTCCCAGCAAGCACGACCCTTCAGGTGCTAGGGCTGGGATCAAAACTGATGGTGATGGTTCCTGTCCCCATTCACATGTGCTCCACGTCCCCTGTAGTGATGCCAACAGGTTCTGGTGGCAACCAAGAGCAGACCCAGAGGGCACAACCGAGCCTGCTCCATCACAACCCATAGGTGGGTCTGGGGTCAGGGCTCAAGACCACCTACATGGCTTTTCCATGCTGGCTTCAGCACAGATTGCTGCCAGCCACCTTCAGAGAGTAGCACCCTTGGGACACAATGAGTCCCTAAACACAGGTGAAACTGAGCTCAGCACAACATGGAGATGCAGCTGATCTTCCCAGGAAGCTAAATCCAAGGAGGGATTTAGCCATATTCATTCACTGTCTTCTCCACTTCGCTGCTGTGCCAAGTATCTTCCTCAAATGACCAGAAGTCACAGTTCACGTTCAAGGCTTCCCATGAGGTGGCTCCTATAGCTACAGTGTCCACACGAACCCAAGAGGTACATCAGGAGAGTCTAGAGACCACTCTGCCCCCAGTAACACATCCCCTGCACCCCAAACCCTGTCGCACTTACTGCAAACGGGTGGTATGGGGCGGCCGCTGCAGCCCCTCGGGCCCCTGGATTAGATGGGAGCATGGACAGCCCCGTTGAGAAGATGCCCAAAGCATTAAGGTTCAGTCCTGGGATCAGGTTGGCTTGTTGCTGGGAAAGCAGAGACATGGAGAAACGTGTAAAAGGCGGAGTGGGGTTTTTGGGGTTCTCACCACATAGTGTGGACACGATGGATTGAGGCCAACCCTTGCTATAACAGATTGAATACCCTCCCAGTTTTCCTCTGGCCACCTCAGCAGTGGCTCCAAAGCAGGGGCATTCCAGGCGGGAGGGCTGGGAGCTTACATTGACGGCCACCACATCGTTCTCATAGGCCTCTCGCAACTTCTTCATGATCTCCACTTCAGCATTGGAGCACGCCTCGGTGCTGCCCTTCACCGTGATGGTCCGCTCGGGGTTGTAAATGGTCAAATCCTGCAAACTACCCCACAGGTACATGTGGAGAAGAAGTGTGAGACCGTATGGGACCACAGGCTCTCTCCCTGCCCAATGCCACCATCCACCTGGGATGAGGAACGCCAGCCCGGGAAGGGGGACATGCTCTCTTTTCTGTCTCCAGCACTGCCCATACTGTGTTGGACGGAGGGGGATGGCGTGGGACTTACGGGGAGATGGTGATCTTCGTGCCTGTATCCTGCTCAATCTTCTTGAGGTTGCGGCCCTCCTTGCCAATGAGCCTCCCCACCAGACTGTTGTGTGCTAGGATTTTCAAGGGAATCTCTTCTGCTCTAAAATGGATTAAAAATTAGTAAAATCTGAAGGTCCATCTGCCCAGGAAACCAATTTTCAGCAACAGGCACTAACGAAGTAGCAGAAGGAGCACAAAACCCACCACTGTTTCACACCACTGCATCTCCTCAGCTTCTAGGGAATGGGAATTTAAGGATTTCCCAGTGGCACATCTATATTTCACAGGGGTTTGTTCTCCAAGTTTGCCCACATGCTCTTTGGACCCACCTGAGCTTCTGGTCTCTACAGCACCGTCAACCACAGCTGAAGTTATTAAGTTACTAACTGACTCATGACTCTATTCTGACACTCCAAATGCCAGCAGTTCCCTGGAGGGTAACAGAAGATGGTTTCTTCTCCACTCATGGCTGGATTTACCTTCCTTCCACCTTCCACCTGCCCATTTTGCTGAGCCAGGGCACTTACGATTTAGTTTCATCAGCCTCCTTCTGCATGATATCAAGGATCATGCGACATGCTTCCGAGCACCCCTCTGGCGTGGCATGGATGGTGATGGGCTTTTCAGCAGCGCCGGCATTCTCCTTCCGATGGATGTCAACCCTATGGTGAAACAACCAGCAGAGAGGAGCCCCCTGAGATGCGTCCGATGTCACATGAAGGCTTTTGAGAGCTCAGGAGCTGAGCTTGCTACTCACAGAAAAGCTCATTTCAACACCTGCTCAAGCTTTGGGGTGAACCTGGCTCTCGCTGACATACATCTACCATCATCTGGTCTCATGCAAGCCCAGGTAGCGTTTTGCTTCAGTTGGTTTAGATCAGTTTTGAGCTACATTCACCTTCATGACCTGAGGTCTAACTGGGAGCTGAGGGATGCCAATCAACGGCAAACAATGCATCAAGAGGGGGCAAGAACAAATCCTCAACTGGACAAAGCCCTGCACAACTTTGTTTATCACTGACGCCAGTCCCGCCTGGAGCGGGAGACCGGACCAGAGGTCTCCCTTCCAACCTCAACCTCTCTCTGCACAAGCGGCTGCCACGACTGTTGTATGTCGTCTGGGACAGAGAGACAACTTACCCACAGGCAGCATTTGTCGCGACACGGAGGCCCACGTCAACAACAGCACTTGTACTCACGCCCTTCCACAGGAGACCAGAAAGCTCTCCCTTGCGCACCGGCAGGGACCATGCTCTAGCGCCTCTGGTCCTCCCCTCAGCTCATGGCGGGGAGGAGGCACGTGCCTCCAGCTCGCTCCTCACCGCTCAACCGTACCTGGCAAAGGCCCTGAGAGAGTGGGAGAGAGGAAAGCAGAGTAGGAGACTCCTGCACGTCAACCACGTGTCTTGAAGAACAGGGGTAAGCGATCTTCCCATCTTCTCCGTGAGTCCGCGTGCTCTTCCCACTGGAGGATGATGCCGTGCAGCCATCCTGCCATCAGCCACCACCTTGGCATCCCTGTCGCTGCTGCAGCCAGGGCTGGGCTAGCCCGCATCTTCTGTGAAGGTGCAGTAGTGGCCGCTCAGTGAATGCCACCAGCGCTCAGCTCCAACACTGTGCACTCTGGCCATGTCTCTGCTTCCGTTAAAGGTCCCCATCCTGACCGGGACCATTCATGGGTGCTGCTGTGCATGCAAGGCCAGTGACTGTGGTGCAGAGTCACCCCTAACCAGTGCCACATTTGAGGGATGCAGAGTCTTGGTGGGATTGCACAGGTCAACTCTTCCAGGAGCTCATGAACCAGCGTGTAGGAACAAGGATGCTTCATCTACAGGTAGAGGGGAAGCAGCTAGATGAACCTTCCCTGAGATAACCGATGAGCCTATCCCACCAGCTTCAAAAGGGACCCCAGGGTGGTTTCATCTGACCACTGAAGAGGGAATGAAGACAAGAGTTTGATCCCCTTTGCAGGCTACATCTCTCCAGATCTCCTACAGCTTCAGCCAGAGCTGCTCAAGCGGAAGACAGGTCCTGCTTGGTCTGTGCAAAGGGGTGCTGGACACACCAGCACCACCAAGCTCTCCCTGCCCTTTGGTTATGTACACAGCATAGTGACCCTGCTGCATGCTGCGCAGCACCCTCTAAGGCACTCCTGGCCGTGGAGCTCCATCAGGTTGACATGGAGGATCTGTCCTTCTGAGAGTGCCAAGCAGGCACAGGGGCACCCGGGGAGAATGCAAACCCATCACGACGTGCCTCAAGAGAGGATGACGGGCCCAGAGTGGTGCCACAACATCACGCCAGGCTGATGCTTGAAGTGAGAGGGAACCGATGAGGAATCCATGGCTACCCCAACAAACCCCAAAGGCAGTAGTCGGGCAGCTTCTTGAACCCATGAGCAGGTGAGGCTGGTGGAGATGGGGCATGAGCTGAGCCTTTGTACCAAAGAAAGGCCAAGAGCCACAGATGGGCTGAATGGATGCACTGAAGTGACAGGCACCCTGGACAAGCCCAGGAAAGCGACATGGGCCATGCTTCTGGCTGACCTCCAACTCATCCCAAACCTGAATGTGCATGCACAAGCTCAACTTGCAGAGAGATGAGGCACCAGGAAGGGGCCACTGCATTCAAGCATGTCCCACCCCAAACAGCTGGACAGAGGAGGAGGGCTCAGGACTTCTCAGCACATCCCAGTGCTGCTGTTGCACAGCTCCATTCCAACGGGAGGATGGAGAAAGGGACTCTTAACCCCTCACCACATCAGCAGCCGCCTGGGACGCCAGGGTGCTGCAGGGACAGGAGACTGGAGCAGCTGACAACAGAGATGGTGGGACAGGGCAGATTTGCCTACGGTGCAGCACAAAAAACCTCCAAGACCCCTTAAAGGGAAGGCCAGGAACTCTTCAGAGAGCGGTGGTTATAAGGGACAGCCTCTCAAGGTGGACAATGCAGTGTGCAAATAGGGTTATCCTGGCCCCATGGCTGCTTGGTAGCAATGGTCCTCTCCTCATCAACTTACAAGGGCTGCAATCACTGTGGAAGATCGTCTGTTGGGGTGGGCTCTTGGTCTGGGCTCCTTCTCAGCCATGGTTCAAGATGGTTCAACCTGGGACCAGTTTTGTCCCTTGGAGATCAGGAGCATCCCTGGGCATCACTGTGTGTGGAAACAGGGTCAAAGTCCTGTGTGACGAGAGGAATCCAGGACGCCGTGTTGCTGTGATTAAGAACAGGGGCTAGGAAACAGGATGTCACCAGAACCACAATCTCCAGGATCATCTCCTGCCAAGTGCCCAGGCCAGGGGCATGAGGTCCCCGTGTCAAGGGCACATGGACTCCTCAGGCAGGTCAAGCGATGCAAAAGCATGGAGCATGGTGTTCCTCCATGGCACCAGGTCTTCAGGGCAGGCACAGGGAGCCCCAACCACGAGGAGGGACAGCTCAGCAGCAGCAGCTCAGTAGCATCTGGCCTCGTGGTTGGGAGAAACCAGCAGTTGGTGCCTCCCACCTTCCTTGCCAGGCTCAGGGCTTGCAAAGGGCAACCTTCCAGTCTTGGATGGCATGGACACATCTCTAACCACTGCTCATCACACCAGGGGACTCACCTAGAGAAGAAGAGCTTGTGGCCAACCAGGACCACCTCATGACTACTAGGTGGCCACATTCTAGGGCTAGCCAGGCTCGAAGAGCTTCTCTCCCTATGCATACGTCCCCTTTACGTACAAAACTCTTCCTGCACACCCAATGCCGGGGTTCGGCCTGCTTGGCTGCAGAGCAGCACATCTTCCTACCTCCTGCTTAAGCAGATGTGCTATTACCAAACAATTTGCCTCTAAAAGCTTCTCTGAGAACTAGGATGCCCTGGAGGATGTTCTGGTACAGGAGTCCTATGTCCTGTGGGATCACCGGATTCAGGATGATGAGCAGGGGAGAAGACAGCTCTGGGTTAAACACAAACAAATCTGGGCAGGAACAAACCATGCAGGAAAACCATGCAGAAAATCAGAGGTGAAATCAATGTGAACATCAACAAGAGAAATATGGAAAACCTTGGCAAGACAGACCCTTCCTCCCCACCCCTTTTTTTTTGTTCTTCAACAACAAAACTGTTAAGATTGCAAAAGAGGCTTCAGAAAGTTACAAAAAGCCCATCCATCTCAAGGCAGCGCTCTCATGGTGCCCCTTTCCCCCCTACAACAGCTCTAACCCATACAAGGCACCGCAGGATGAGCAAATCCCGAGGGCAAAGACCATGGGGGCACTGACTGCTGTACCTAGAATTCCCTTTCAGCATTTCATCCCCAAACTTGCCGTTTCTTCCCAAAGCCTCATCCCCAACCATTCTTGTGATGGGGCTTTAGAAACCCATTCCTGGTCTTTTTGAATGTGCATCCCCCTCCTGCTGCACCCAAACCACCCTGGCCAGCAGAAACGGTTTAGAATATGGGCTTTGCTACCATCCCATGAAAGCTGCACCCCAAGAAAACACCACTGGCCAGCACTCAACAGCCCCGAGTGCATGGAGGACCCACGCTGGGGACCTACAGCACCCTCTGGAAGGAAACAAAACCATTCAAGGTACTTACTTGGACTGGGTTTGCTTAGTAAGGTTCTTTATGGTCAAGCCCTCCTTTCCTATGATCGCACCAACAAACTGCGTGGGTACCAGCATCCGCAGTGGGAAATCGAGCTGTTTGGGCTGCGAGGAGCCCCCCGGGGAGGAGCCCTGCTCCCTGGAAGAGTGGCCCCCGCGGCGGGATCGCTGGGGGGGCGGAGGGGAGCTCACCTCTTCATCCGGGATGTAGGAAATCTTGAAGGAATAGTTCTCAAACTGGTGGTCGCTCAGCTTCTCAATTGCTCTGCAATGTAGGGAGGGTGGTAAGAGGCTCTATGGGGATGGACACCCCTCCGGCACCACCAGCACTTGTGGACTGTGGTCCCTCCCCAGCCCTGCACCTTCCTCTCTCCCCAGTCCAGAGAAGGTGGCCATGGGAAGCCAGAGCACCCCACTGTCCCATGGTGGGACAATGTCCCCTCCCATGTGGGTGATGCCAGAGCTGTCACCCTGGCAGAGGTGGGATGCCAGCCTGGGGATCTGTCACTTCACCTGAGCAAAGCGCTGGCCAGGAGCTATCACAGAGTGCAGAAATGGTCTCGCAGGCTTTTTGGACATGGAAAAGGTGACAGAGTGGCTCTGAGCAACAGCTGCTCCAAGGAGAAGGACATGGCACATGGCACCCCTCTGTCAGGAACCTCAGCTCCCTCCCTAGCTTAGTGCATGGCGAGGCAATGATTTCTGTGAGCAGTGATGGCTTCAGCCATGCTTCTTCACTCTTCCTACCACATCTTGCTTTGGCTATTTAGAGGCAGGCGTATGAATGCACCACTGCCAGTAGCTCCTTTGCCAGGCCTGAACTTCACATCCATTGTGGACTTCTGCAACTTCACTGTCCCTTCTCAAGACCAGCACAGTGCCCCTGTCTGGTTTCTCTGCTGAGCTCTTCCTTTCGCCTGCTCCTATCACAACATGCTCTAAACCAAACCACGTCCCCCTGAACCACCCAGGCCTTTTCCTCCTGTCACTTGTTTCTACATCAAGCTGCTGAGCACCAGCTAGGACAGGTACCAGGATGCAACAGATCACAGCATCTTCTCTAACCCTGAAGGCTCTTACTGCAAAGCATCAAACACTGCCGTGTTGGTGAGACTCTCTGTCTTCCTTTCTTGCCACACATCCCAAGGCACAGCAGCTCATGCCACATTTACCTGCGGCCCACAACACCTTCTCCATCCAGCTGAGGCTGGAGCACACCCAACACGGCCACCCCAACAGGCACAAGGAAGACTCTCTTCTTGCGTTCTGGACCAGCAGATCATTCTCCCCATCTCTGTCCTCACAAGTCCAACCTCATCATGGGTCAACTCAGACGGGAAGTTTCCAGAACATCCATCAGCAAATGGACTCTGGCAAAGGCTCTTCCTTGCATGGGGTCTGCCTGGCTCTTGGTCATACCCAAACTACACTGACCACTAAGTCTGAGACATGCTCAACACTTACTCATAACTAACTTAGGGCTGGTGTCTAGCACAGGGCTAAAGTTGCTACAAGCCTTTAACAAGTGTTTTGCTTGAAACAGTCCTTGTGTTTCTGACATAACCGCTAATTAGTGTTTTATTTCCTCTCTGGCTATAATAAACCTTTATGTATGTCTTCACCCAGCCCTGCTGTCCTGATGCACAGCTCTGTTGGGCTATTCCGTCCTTTTAAAGCTTTTCTTGATGAGTGGCATTTCTTTGACTCCTCTGCACAACATCCAGGCAATATACTCTCTGCTGCAGAAACTGGCCATGGACCCCTTGGCTCCCTCTCACCTCCTCTAACCAGTCATTCATCCACCCAGAGGACCTCTTTTGTCCATTGAAGAAAAACTTTTTGACAGCCTTTCAGAAGCTGACCAGCCAGTTTCTCTTGACTCCAGAAGGCGACGGGCTCTGCATATTTTGGTCTCCAACTTGACTTTCCCCCAACTAGTGAGGTTACTTGTATCTCCCAACACCACACTGTTTCTCCACCATCTCTCCCAGCTCTTTCAACACATTCCACCTCTTCAGCAGCTCAGGCTGGGTGGTTGGACTGATGATTAATCCAGTGCATTCCCAGTTTAGGTCTGGACTTCCAACCTGGGAAGACGACTCCTTGACAAACTGCTTCTCTGAGCTGACCCTCAGCTTTCTAGAGCACTTTGCTCTCTAAGGCCACTGTGACCCTGAAGAAGGCCTTTTAGGAAGGACAGTGTCCAAAGGTAACTACAAGATCGCACATCTGGGAGCCCCTTAAGAAGAAGAGAAGGCACAGAGGAAGAGGGGACAACCCCAGGGCTGATGGCTCCAAGCTGGTCCAGTGTTGCCTGTGCATGAATGAAGGGGCACCCTAAGAAACCCCATCTCCCATGTGAGGGGAGAAGGCAGGAGACTGCCCAGTGGTGGAACGAAGAGAAGACTGCTTGCAGAAGACACACGAGATGACAGAGCTTAAGGTTAAACCAACATCTGCCAGCTGTATCTCGAGAAGATACACTGACAGCCCTTAAGGCACTTGAAGCTTACACTCTAAGAGCTTAGAAACAACCTAAGGAGGCTCAGAGAGAAGACAAGAAGCAGCCGGGAAGATACCTGGTGTGAAAGGTGGTGTGAAAATACGGATCAAACCCCACTTACACTTTTGCTTCTTCTTTACTTGCATACGTTACGTTGACAACGGCTGTTTCTGTGTCTGTGTTGACTGTGGAAAAGCAAGAGAAGGAACATTAGAGACACCCTGGGGGGGGGGGACACACCAGTGGGACACTGGTGAGGATGGTGGCAGGGCAATGCCTGTCCTGTGGGGACGGCTCTGGCCACCACGCAGTGTGCACTTCTGCACCACTGTGTTTTCCCCAGCACAAAGACTGGGCTGGGCTGGCAAAGGACCAGAAGGTGCCAAGGCCAGATCCTACCACCCTTGCTGAGGAGGATGCTTGGCATCACTGATCCACCAGCAGACCTCAAACAGCGCTTGGCTTGGTTTTTGTTTGCAGGGAAAATTGGGTTTCTAATTTGCCAGTGACCAAGAGAAGCACTGAGGATGGAGGTCTGATGGCCCATGTCATCCCCCATCACTGGACGGGTGGCCCTACCTCCACCAGGACTTTGGTCCACAGGGAAAACCATTTTAGCCCAGTACCAATGACTGGGAAAACCAGGTTTCACCTCACTGGGTTTTCTCTGGCATGGGAAGAGCTGGGGAACAGTGCTGGGACTTCTGCACAGGTGAGGACCATGCTGGACCATCTTACCTTGCTCTACATTCTCCACTGTCCCATACTGAGCTAACAGGCCATCCAGCACCTAAAGGAGAGAGCAGAAAACAAGGCAGGTGAGGCAGGCAGGGCAAGAGCCTGCTTCACCCACAGACACCCTCCAAAGAGCCAGCATCACCCACCTGCATCCCATTATCCCAACGATGCCCTACTGCAAAAAGCTGCCCCACAAGCCAGTGGAAGATAGAGCCCTGTTCGCACTCCACCTCCCTGCTGGGGTTACCAGGAAGGTAAAGGGAAGGTAAAAGGTGGCCCATTGCAGAGCACATGCTCCTGCAGCACAACTCACGCTGCTCGGCACAACTGATGGAAGACGAGGAGGTGAAAGGGATGCTTTTAGGATCATCTGTTTCTTACCTCCCACTGCAGGTGGGGTGGGATGTTTCGGATCTGGATCTTCCTGCTCCTGCAAAGACAAAGCCCGGGGTTAGGGGGTTGTGGTCTGCAGGCACGCTGCAGAGGGGAGCAAAGGCTTTGCAGAAATCAGACAGCAGCTGGGGAGAACTCGCCGAAGCATCCCGCTTTCCCACACTGACCTGGAGCACCTTGTACCTGGGGAAAGCCATTTGTCCCACCCTTGGCCTGGTCACCACCTGCTAGGGCTGAAGCTGTCTCGGGAATGCTCCTTCCTCATGCCGGCTGTCAGGTTTCCAAGGAAACCTGAAATGAGCCTCTGCAGAGCCACAGCCGCAGAGGCACGCCTGGGATGCGTGCTCACTCTGACCACGCTGCACTGGGCTTGATGGCTGGGTGGTGACAGGACCCGAGACCCACCATGGCCAACCCTGGTGTCCCTCGAGGGGGGCTCTCCACAACGCATCCTGCTGATGTCCACCACTTCCAGCAACTCAGGCCTGCTCTCTATGCGGAAACCTAAATATATATCCTCAGAGGCTTGCCCTTGGAGATGGCCAATGCACCCAACCTTGCCTGGCTGCACTTTTCAACTCGCGTTACTGCTCCCAACCTGGCCGCACTGTGGCCTTGGGGCATGGATGCACAGGATGCATTGCAAAGGCCTCCCAAGAGGTTAACAGCCACCAAATGCCCCCCAAGCCTGGCGGCAAGAAGACGTGCTTGGGCAGTGGGAAGTTCTGAGATACCCAAGTCTATGGAGGATCCAGCCAAGCCATGAACTCATCCACTGCCCACCCAGATCAACGTTCATAATCCTGCTTGTCGTCAACCAGCTCCAACCAAAGCAGGGTCCTGTGTTCTCACCTCATCCAGACCCCAAGCAAGAAAGGGACGGCAGGGAAAGGACATTTCTTGAGACGTGGGCTGTGAGGGCAAGACAAAATCCACAGTTTGTCCCACAAGGACGACCGTGGTCAAGCAAAGCAGCAGAAACAACCATGTCTCATGGTGCTGCTCAAACAGGTACAGTCAGCACTGCAATCAGCACTGGACAACAAACCCTATGCTCTCATCTGACCAAGGAGGTATGCTCACTCAATAAACCCCTCTGTGAGTTTCACAGCTTCCTCAGGCTGGATCCTCCTCCAGGGATCCTGCATATGGCCATCCTCGCTGAGCAGTCACCTCCCCACCACAGCCAGGAGCCCTGTCTGGCTCATGACCTGCCACCATGCCATGTGTGTCTGCAGGGGTGGCTCTGCCCCTCCAGTCACTGCGAAACAGTGGGGAAACCAGAGCCAGAGAACATGGTGTTCTCCTGCAGTGATACCAAACCTCTGCCATAGACTCCTCCTGTCCCCAGCTGCCACCAGGGATTTCACAGTTGGGCATGTAGCTGTAAGATCCTTGCAAGGAAAGGAGCAAGATTCATTCCATCCCGTCCAACCCTACCCCATCTCCAAACCATTCCCACCCCACATCAGCAAGGAGGCAGTAAGGAGGACCTGGCCTAAGGTGGACCATGGCAATGACAATTCTGCGCTGTTCACCAACAGCCTAACCCCTTTTCCTGCCTCTCCCTTTCACCCACCCGTGATGCCGCACCGCCACTCCCAGTACCAGTGCTTTGCAGGGCCCACTCCAGAAAATGGGACACATTTCATTTGCAAAATCCACCAGCATTTCCCAGAGGGGCTATGTTAAGGTGCCCAGGTCCAGTCCTGGGAGCTGCTCAGCTCCCAGGGATACCACTCCTGCCTGCTCCAAGAGATGCATCCTGCTCTCAAGCCAACTAGCAGCATGCTGTGAGGCCAGTTTGCCTGACCAAATCCCAGCCCAAGTGTGCTCCATGCCACTTGCCCACCTCCTGAGACACCCAAAGAGAAGGAACACAGCAAGGTGCCGTGCAATCCAACTACTCAACGGGACACGATAGCATATTCTCATAACCAATGTCCATCTGAGCTGATGCAGAGCATCTTGAAGACACCCAAATGGTGCTCAAGGCTTTACCCCACCACCTGGTAGGTCTCCCAGTAAGTCATTAGCACCACTCAGCATTTAAAATGAGGTTGTTATTCCTTCTAGGCCTCTTTTTTATAGCTCTAGTAATTCCCTACCTGGCTGAGGCAGCGCTGGACCACACATGTTCATCATTCATAGAGTGATGGATGTGTACCTGCAGCCATGATATTGTTCCCAGGGCTGGGGCATGGACTACACACGGTCCTCAACAGGCACGGCACCCTCCTTCAGCACCGCTCCCAGAAAGACTTTGGGACAGAAACCCCCTTTATTTTAATTTTCCTTGCTCCTCCCAAAACCTGGGAGACAGGGGATTGATTTCAGCACAACACGCACAATGCCCAGCACAGGACCTTGTGACGAAGGCAGCAGCTACATTCCACCCAACCTGTTTTGCAGCAGGCTAGTAGGCATTAAAACAAAGTAATAAATCAGAATAACCAGTAACTACAGGCACACGGTTTGTGGAGAAATTCCTCATTGTGTGGTGTAACTACCTCTGCTATACCAAGCTACCCTCAGATAACCACGAGAACTGTATCCTTCTGTACCACCCTCCTGCTCTTCCCTACGAGCCATCTCAGTGCCCAGCCCAGGTCAAAAGGCCCAGAGGCAACAGAGCATCAGCTTCAAGTGCTCAGTAAACCAGATTTATGCAGGATCACCTGCTTTTTTACCCTTCTAAATTCAACAACAACAAAAAAAAAAAAATAGCCCAGCTGGCTACCAGCTATTCTGGCTTGAGGAGGAAACATCTCCTCCATCCCGGAGCTGGGGTTTGGGTACCGCATGTCAGCTGGCATCACACAAAGAATGAAGAAGCCCATTCTCAAAGCAAGTAAGGATGTTAAGCTGGGTTCATGAAATAATGCATATCAGAGCTGTGCTAGGTTTCATGCATCCATTAGGCCAAAATCATGACGCCAACACTGCAACCCTGCAGGGAAAGGGTACGGAAAACCCATGGCTACCATGGCGATCACCACCAGCTGATGTCCACCATGCCATGTGCCAGGTATCTATACTTGCTGAAATCAAGTAATACAACAGAAGATGCCTCACAGTTTACTCCCCAGAATGAGGTGGACTGGGGCTTTTTGGGCACACCTCTCCCTTTCCCAGCAGCCTCAGTAAGCAGCAGCACTCTCATAGCTTCATGACAACCTTTCCCATAGCTCCCAGGTAAATAACAGGTAACAGTCACTTCCAAAATCCAGGGACACAGAAGAAGAATAAAGATGACATGAAGCTGTGAAATGAAAACAAGCTGCCAGACCTCTGCCCAACCTCCATGGACCTCCCTGTCTACCCATCCTTTCCCTGCCCATTGGGCTTCAGGTCCAGGGACCACTGACCGTGACCACCATCCCCTGGTCTCCTGCTCCAGAGAGGCTTCACCTCCCATGAGCATTTGGGAGCCACAAACTCAATTTCACTGAGCTGGCTTAAATATAAGCCCTTGCAATGGTATGTAAGGGATGCATTCGCCACTATTTCCCCTAAAAAATGAAGACTTTCTTTCCAGTCAAGCTTTGCAGTATCTTAACATAATAAAGGAATAAAAGGATTTTATCACCTTCCACCTCAGATCAGTACCGAGGGCAGAGAAAACACTGTCTGCCAGCTCCTGCTTTCAGCAAAAATCAGTTTTCAAGAGAACCGGAGGAAAAAACCACAGAGGGGGAAGAAACGTGCTGGAAATCAACCGTGTCCCCTGCAGCCCTGCCTGCTTTATGAAATATTTGTTACAAGCAAGAAAACATCTACAAAATACATGAAGCTCATCACCAGGTAGGGACTAAACTCAGTCTCACCTGCATTTTTCAGACCTAGAGCCTGAGCCAGGAACATTCCCCTAACCAGGCAGGGAAGAAGGCGCCTGTTGGGTCTGTGTCTATTGATAATTGTATGTATTTTTTTGTGTCTATCGGGGTCATCCTCAACAAGTTTTGCTCTTGTCCAACCCAATCCAGCAGCAGATCTTAATGAGCAACGGCTCCGTCAGCACCAGGCGGGATAAGCATTAAAGAGCTGCCCCAGTTTCAACCAGTTGCCAAGAGCATCACGGATGTGTCTGCTCCAGTTCCCCTCCCAGCCCGGGGGCTTTGCCTTGACGCTCTTAAGGAATTAAAACCCGTTCATGTTAAAGCCCTGTCCTCTTCCGCAGGACGAACAACCTGCCGAGGGATGGAGCCGGAGGGGGGACAGCAAGGACAGCACGTGATTGATACATCCCCATAGCTGGGGATGTATTAACAATAGGGATGAATAGGAAATAAGGTCCCATCTGTCACAGCTTGTCAAGATTAAGGGGCAGGGGGGAAGAGGAGAATAGGGGGGGGGAAGA